TAACAGAAGGTGCGTCCGAATGTCGGCATTCTTTACGGACTGAAGACCAGAGATGAAGATGATGCATTTGAATTTATCCGTGGTGATAAGGCCAAATTGAAAGCGCCCGCATTCACAATTGGCGATTCCCGCATACATTATGAGGTTGTCGTCATCACGCCTGGCCAGCTGGAGACATTGGAACCGGGAATCGAACCTTGAGGACTGTACGCCGAATATTTGCGACAGCGTTTAGATCGTCTCGGCAAATGGCACACCTCTTGGGTTCTTCGGTAGAATGAAGTTGGTGTAACGTTGGCGCTCAATGGTGCCCAACTTGCGAAGTAGTAGGCGAACCTTCCACGCTTCATCCTGATCGGTCAGGTCAACGGTGAACAGATCATCGAACCGCCTGTACCAAGTAACGAACCTCATGTTGGCATCGGGATCGTACAGAAACGCCGAGATGCTGCCAGCGACCTAATCCACCGACTGGGAACCGCCAATGGTACTTGGCTCATCGGAACAACTGGGGAGTTTCCGTTAATACGGGCATTAGCCTTAACTGTTGTTGCAACCTCTGCTTCAAATCGACATACTCTTCTGCATGGTGCGAAAATAAATCTGTCGTTAATTTGCTGTAATGCATCTTAGTTGTTTCGACTTAGTAGGAACGAACAAATGTTCTTCATAGATAGCTTCCCCTTCGCACTGACTAGCCAATCAAATTCGGAACGTTGCAGCTTAACGAGACCTAGCTGCCAGACGTACACGAGAGCTGAGACTGGAGACGAAAGCGCGTAACCTGGCACGACTACTATGAGACCCGTACGAGAAAGGAAGACTAGCCGTTAGCAAGAGTGCTTTTATCAGCTCTGCCAAGGCGGAGCATGCTTTGTACACCTTCCTATTTATAGCTCGATATAATAGCAGTGTAATGCATAAACTATGGAGGATGGTGTATGTTGGCAAGGCACATGATTGGTCACCCAGTGGTAGTGTCATGAGGGAAACTCAGTTAGTGTCAATGTGGGTTGGTGCGGTAACTGTCGCAACAACTGGGGAGCTCAGGTAGTTCTGCGGTTTGATGCCATCTATACCTTAGTGTCAAGCGGAAACTTCATTGGGTTCAATGCAGCTTACACAATAGATGCATCAGTGTCCTGAATGAAGCTCAAGCTAGTTCCTTGTGGCTTGGCATCTATGTTCCTGGGACGGCTCGTTGGTTACTAGTACACTCTGATTCGCCGAATGGTGCTTGTATGTCTGAGGTGAGTCCGGCGAAATCCGCGCAAGTTTCCTGGAGCTATACGAGCTGCGTAACAGAATCGCTGGTCGTATCGCTTGACTATAAAGCTTTTTCTGACTTGTTTGCGACGCAAGTTCAATCTAGGTCGTTGGCTGGCTCAGTCAGTGTTCACGCGAGGATGATATTTTGACCTATATTTTCTTGGACTGTCGACCTTAACAGCAAAGTTTATGCTTCATTTGCACATGGATATTTAATACTTATTCTCTGCGTGCTTTTAAAGTTTCTATTTGCCTATTCTTCCGTTCAATATTTTTGCTAATATTTGCATAGGTGTTGTCACCGATATGTGCACCACTGCCGTCTCCTCTCCCCAATCACTCTCCTCCGATTCTGTTTTCAACCATCTGGTTGACCTTATCTTGCTTACTTCTTGTTGTTGTTTTATAGTCTGAAAAGCCATTTCGCCACTTTGGTACTCTGAGATCCGGCCACTATCATCGTATATCGGCTGCTTCATACACACAGGACGGAAGCCTTTTGCTCACCGCTTCGTATGATTCCAGTTGTGTGGTATGGTCCGTACCAGAATACACACCTTTGCACCATTATTGGTAAGACTGCTGTTGTGTTTGTCGTCTTGTTTCTGGCCATTTACATAAATTAATAAATGTTTTATTCTTGACAGTGCGAGACACGCCTGCAAAAGCATGATCAGGATATTAGAAACACATATCATTCTTTTTTTGGATACCATGTCCGTGGAATTGAATGAGGTTAAGTTGTTTGGACTCCTGATTCGTGCACACATGGCCACTGTATAGTCATTGGTCATTTCACCGCCCCGCCGACCACGATACGGTGCGCAGATGGGCAGCAAGCGGCGCTAGTCAGGTCAGTTCGATAGATTCACAAATGTGATTGCATAATTCACCTTGGACAGCTACTTCTCTTCGGTCATTTGAACGGTCTAGAACTAGTAAGAGAGCTTTCTGATGTTTGAAATTCGTATTGTGGCATCAGTATCAGCACAATGGAAGCACATCCTTTATACACTTACCTAAGTGTGTAATTGAGTGTTATGTTTACAACAGTGATGGACTACGACAGCCAAAGCTTGACAGATCATTGCGTTTGCACGTGCAGCCGTCTGGTGAACTCGAATTCCATTGTACCTTTTGGACAGTCGAGATTTGTTTGACCTGATTGTCGTTCTGTAGACTGCGTTTGCTTGCAGATGGTGCCGGCAGCTTAGCTTAGCATCGTGCACTGGATGGGGATTAATTGCTGCAGCGCGGCGTCAATATTGACATATATTCTTTCATTAGTACCGAGTAGGAGGATTTTTGATGATTATTACACAACTGCCGCACAGTATTTTCTCCGAATGACGAGTATCCTTCCCATTGTGATCGCACTGTCAATAGTATCAGTAGTATCGGGACCTGGCCTAGCTGTGTTCCTCTTTGAACTGGCTAAGTAAGCCTATTTCTGTGAACGTCCCACAACTTAGCTCTAGTATGTCGACCAGTCAGTCAAACTGGAGAATGCGTCTGATGCGATGAAGTTTTCACCACTGTAGTTTTATCTCTTGATAAACTTGTCACGTGCATGTATTGATCCGATCCTGTTCCTTACTGGGAAATCGAGTACCTAGTTAGCACAGTACCCTTGCGACTTGTGTGAATACCCAACTATGAACTGCACCCATTTTATTCGATTTCGCAGTTGGTATTCGGGTCTTCATAGACGCTCTTTAGATGCTCTACCAAGCTTACACCTTCGAGGAACCTGACACAACAATTGCATCTACTTGTCTTTTTTGGTATAAGAATTGTGTACTTGTATTTTAGGGTTTAAGTGAGCGGTTATGTCTTCACTTATTTTATATGCTCGCCCAGCACTAACTGAGGAGGACTTTATCTTGCTTGTCGGATGTTAGATAGTGGCTTGTTGTGCTTCATCAATAGCAGTGCATCAGTCATTTGAACTGATGCTACGCTGCCGTACAACCACGGTGACCTTCTGAACGAGGAACAATAAGTGGGACAGAAGTGGGACCTATCGTAAAATCTTAATGCCTTAAACAAACCCTCGGGGTCCAGGCGCCTACAACTTGTCATACCATACATACCATCACCAATAGCTAGTTACCATGCAAAGATAAGGCGGCATCGGCGAGACGCAACACAGCACTCAGCGTCTCTAACGTGAATGCACGTGCAGCCTGTTGACGTATTTGTCTTATCGTGCGGATGTTGAACGCCGCCAGGGCAACGGGACAGTTTGGCTTCATAAGGAGCTGTTGGCAATTAGTGTGCATTGGGTGATGCGGGAACATAGTTGCAGATGGTATGACTCCAGTGACATTGCGATTGCTGTCCATTAAACTGGGAATTATAGGAGGAAGGCTAGTAATGGGGATTGGGAGGGGGGTAAGAGAAACAGGTGGAAAAGGAAGAGAGGAGGCGCTAGCAGTAGCATGTTTTCGCTTATCCGCCCTGTTGTGTGTAGCATATAAGGCGACCTTTGATAATCTGTGCGACGACCGATGCAGAATGTGAATAAAGTTTGAATAAGAAGTCATGGTTATACGTTGACTGAGATACTGCCAACACGCCTAGACCTTGAGAGAGGACGATTAGGATCCTCAACCAAAGCCCCTGGGACAAAATCCTGTTCGCAAGGCATCGGATGTGGCAAGGCTTCGGTTTTACAAAAATGGACGCCATCCCATTTCAACCCCCCAACCTGGAGGATTAGGAGATTGAGTTCGTCTGACCTCTAACCATTGACTAATCTGGTAGGAGTAGCTCTTAAAAGACCCAAGTGCCCCACTTAGTATAGCACAATTGGTCGACAAGGTAACCAAACCGTCACACCACGTTTAGGTCCAGTCTCATCGTAACGGCTGTGGTGGTTAGTCATGAATTTGGAAACGGGAAATGAAGTGTTTGCCCACTTGACTGAATGTTGATGATTTTTATGGCTTTTCAAGCTAGGACGCACACTGCTCATCCTGTTTTTTCCGGTTTGAACCATTTGAGAACAAGTCTCGTAACTTTCACTTACATCGTATGTGCCGTATTCTTACCTGACTGCTCGTCTAAAAGACGTTCGGTACTGAGTTACCAGTCGGTTAGGGCGTTTGATAGCGAACGTTGTACGGACACTCTAGTCGTTGCCACTAGATCTTCGAACAATGATAAGCCGTTTCTGACCATATGATGCACCCCAGGTTTCGACACTTTGACCCTTGGTGCGACGACACGTCATTCCGTGTATAAGTGCGCTGAATTGCGTTATACTAATCAGTCTATTCTCCTTGGGGTGTGACATGGCCTAGAAAAGCTGATCCGAGTGTAATGTGCAGAGAAAAATAAAGTCGAAATTAGCTAGTTCCGGTAGGCCGTTGGCCTGAAGGATTATTCGCTATCCTTGTAATTCGACGGTCACCGGTTCGAATCCGCGTAGGTGCGGGTGATCTCACAGTGCTTGCGTGGTAGCAAAGCGGTGCTACGCTGTGCTGGCGTACTGCTGATGTTTTTTCTACTTTATTGAGAATGAACAGCCTCCCTAATTCATCCGATCAATGTAGGTTTCCTGTGGCACTCCTATCACGCTTCGTTCTGATGTGTTACGTTCACTGCCGGATAAATATTTCGTGTCTATCTAAATGTCACTACTTTTCCGCTCATTCTATTCGTATATTTCATTCTCGACACCTGTAACATCCTTTTCCATCTTTTTCAATTTCCGTTGACGTAGGCATATGGGACGTGTCCCTAGCCTATTGCTTCTCGGTGGTGCCAATGGACATCATATGTATGGCTTAGCTGTCGCTCCGGACGACCTCCATTTCGCTACAATCTGTGAAGACAGGTGAGGCGATTAATTTATTTACTTTAGGCCTTTTAATCTCGATTCACATTTGTGTTTTGGGCGAATGCTGAGAGACATTAATCTTCCAACTGCTGTACGATTCCGATTCAAAGCACACGACTTCCGTGGACTCGCATTCCTAGCCAAAATCAGGGACAGAGAGATTGTGCTCTCATTTCATAGCCCCAAACTACAGGATCTTACCAAGTATTCATATATTTGATTATTTTGCAATTCTGACTTCGTTACATTTCGCCAAATGTTGGGTGATTCTGAGTCGTTTTGCCCATTAATCAACAAAATCACTCGCAAACAACCACCAGCTATTTATTTTTGAACCGCTTCTTACAAAACTTTATTAAAGTTCACTCTGTCGTTATCTTCCAGCTGAGTTGCATTCGCTCGCCTATCCCTCGACGAAATGCTTCACATCTCATAGTTACACACAGTAATGTCACAATGTTATTCCATCAGATCCCATAGCTTCTGTCCAACGGGGCGTTCCCAGACGCCGAGACGCACTTTGGTTTGAGATTCAACAAATATCTAATTCTTTCATATGATCTTGTCTTATATGCTTTTATCAACCCTCAATCGTTGAGTGCTACTGGTGGCTTAGCTAGCCAACACGAGCGGGCGTTGCTCCGTATCACCGAGCCGCATTTTGTTCAGTCGTCACACTTCATCTCTCACATGTTCATTTTTGATAGTGGTTGCTTCATTGATATTCCCACGAGCGGTACTCCCTCTTGCACTCGCAACACGTGATGTGAATCCATACGGATGCGGAAGACCGACCACCATTAGCTTCCTTTCTACACCCTTTTTCACTTAGCTTTCGAAGGTGCCCCTATAACTGTCTCCATGATTTGGACTGCGCAGACAGTGCTTGATATCGCGTCGCTTGTTTATCTCAGTGTTGAATTGTGTTGAAATGTCACACACGATCCTGAGCAACCGAATCTGCGGAAAATCCATCGCAGTTTTGAGTCGGACGAATTCTCGCCTTAGGCCGTTTGTCATACAATTAAATGGAGTTAGCAATTTTTGTTTATTAATGTGGCTCGCAAAATCGGTCGCAACTCCTGGTCACAGTGGATAGACAGTTAAGGTACTGGTATATAAGTAACTTCCTAAAGGTATGGTGGGTCTCGGTGTTGCTGTTTCTCATCCCTATACCCCAGCGCAGGAATTGAGAACGACAACAAAACCTACCCAATGATCGGAATGGGGCAGACTGACCTCAAAGTTAACCACTGCGACAATTGAGATTGCGTATCACAGTCCATGACACACAGCGGGTACTCCAGAAAACCAGTCGATTATACCGAGTGTGATGTGTACGCTTACCTTATCAAGCACCTTAAAGTTATTATTTACTCAATTAATTTCCACCTTTTGCCTTATTCACTCTTCCGCTAACTATGTTTTTATACCTTACCATTTTGTGCCCACTACGCACAGTTGTAAACCTAGTCGCGCTAATAACCTGCATCTACTCCTCCAAGAACGTGTGTATTGTCTAGATTTTCTAATCCACAGTGCCCGTTATATATGTTTCATGCGACTTGTCTAGCTTCGACTAGGTTCCGTCGTTGCACGCATCATTGATGTTTCGCGGTTAGTGACCCCTCTGTCGCTTTGCTACTTGCCCCATTCTTGATACATGTTTCTTTCTTCAATGCCACTTACAGGTTTTCTCCCCATACTTTTTCAATTTTTCCGTCACACAATGCCATATGTAATCTTTTCGTAAAGCACCTTGAGACAGTTTTCCTAACTTCGTTCACTCCTCTCCACCTCGTGATCGCTCTGTAAGCCGTATGTGAGACTCATTGTTTCCGGGTTTCTTGTGATTCGTATTTTCTTGTTCTTCTAGGTGTGTGCGTTTGTGGGCACTTCATCCAAACACATCCCCTGAGAAGACGTATTATGAGCTGGCACTGCCCACGATTCCTAGTGTGAAGTTGCGAAGCGTGGCGTTTAGCCCTTGTGGGAAGCTTCTCGCCGTTACGTAAGTCCCTTTTTGGGTTGATCTTCTCTTGCATGAGCTCAGCGTTATGAAGTCACTCCATACAGTGTACCCACACAGTCATGCTTAATCCAAATCAATTATGGAAACTTCGGATGGCAGTTGAAGTGTTCGCTGAGCTTGGCAATTCGGTTGCAAACGTTTCGTCACCAATCGAGGTGACATCATCAGTGCGTAGTTGAGTGGCGTGCAGTAGCGTAGAATAGCGTAGAGGAGCCTCAGTGAGAGTGCGCTGAGCGTGGTGTGCGTGCGTTTTTATACCGCCGTGGTTGCCCGTGGAGGCGAGCAATCCTATTGGTTGGGATTTCGATCCGCCTTCAGCCTGGTTGATGGGCAGATGACCTTTGACCTTGACTCCTTGTGTTTCGTGGCCTTTGTCTGCTTGCGCTTATGAGCGAGTCTGTCGTCAGTTCTGGTTGGCTAGTCACACGTTCCACCGGATTCAATCGATTGAGTTGGCGGTCGTTCGCCAGTAGTGTTGCGTATACTGCGTCCAGTTCGATGTGTCGATTGATTGAATTCGTTGTAGAGTACCAGGCTTCCAAAAACTCCCTCGCGTGTTTTGTACTTCCATGTGCCAGGATCTTTACATTCTCCAGATCGAAATGGTGGCCTTCTTGATCTTCATGCGCAGAAACCAATGAGTGCGGATCATGTCTTCTGACGGCCGCCTTGTGTTCGGTGATTCGTGTACAAAGCTTTCTTCCAGTTTGTCCGACGTAGTTTTTATCGCAGTCGCTGCATTTTAGCTGATAGATGACATTGCATTGGTCGGCTTGATTGACTTTTTCTTTGGGTCTTGAGATCAATTTCCTTAGGGTGGCACTTGGTTTGTGAGCCACAGAGATCCCATGTGACTGCAGCAATCTTCCTGTTAGTTCGGAGACGTTCTTGATGTAGGGGAGCACTATTCGTTTGTTTGCTTGCTCAGGTGACTGCTGCTGTTGCTGAGACGTTCGTTTCTTTAGGCTTCTTCTGATGAAATTTCTCGGATAACCGTTGTTTCTAAACACTTGATATAGGTGCTTTTCTTCCTGTTTCCGCGATTCGGCTGTGCTGCAGTGCGTTTCCGCTCTTTTGAATAGGGTTTGAATGCAGCTCTTCTTGTGATTCATCGGGTGGTTGCTGTGGTAGTTTAATATCTGGTCCGTATGCGTTTTCTTCCGATATACGCACGTTTGCAGAGATCCGTCGGTATTCCTAGTGACCAGTACATCCAAAAATGGCAACTTGTTATCCTCCTCTAATTCAATCGTAAATTTGATATCCTCGAATGTGCTGTTGAGCAACTCGTGCGTGGCCTGTACTCTGTTCCGTTTTACGATGACAAATGTGTCGTCCACGTATCGTATCCAGAGTTTTGGGCTGATAGATGGCAGTGCGATGCGCTCCAATTTCTGCATTACGGCTTCTGCAATGAGCCCCGAAATTGGGGATCCCATGGGTGTTCCTCTCAGTTGCTGGTATACTTGTCCATCAAAGCGGAAATAAGTGGTCATGCAGAGGTTCAGGAGTTCCCAAAAACTTTCAGGTCGTATGGTTGTCGTTGGGCTTAGTTGATTCTCAAGTAGTTCCATCATGGTTTCTTTGGCCAATTCGTGACCGATTGGAGTGAAGAGCGCGGTGACATCGAATGGAAGCATTATTTCGTCGTCATCTATTTTGACACTCCGCAGTTTGTTGCGGAATTGTTCAGCATTGTTGATGCTATGTTCGGATCCAGCAACCAAATGTTTCAACCTCCTCCACAAATCCTTCGCCATTTTATATGATGGGGTTCCGGGGAGCGAGACGAATGGTCGTATTGGGACTCCATCCTTGTGTATTTTTGGTAGTCCATAGAACAGTGCAATATTTGTATCATCAGCTTTCATTCTCCATCTCTCCATGGCGGTGAGCTCGTTCTTTGTTTGCAGTTTCTTCAGCATTGCCTTGATCTGGTTGACCAGTTTTGAACTTGGGTCTTGATCGATCTGGCGATAAGTGGTTGTGTCGGATAGCAGTCCTTCGGCCTTGTTAATCTACGCTGATTTGTCCAATATCACTCTCATGCTCCCTTTGCCCGCTGGTAGGATTACCATGTTCTCGTCTTTCTGTAGATGTCTAAGTGCATCATGTTCCTCATTGGCTAGGGTCTGGGTGACTTTATTTGGAGTTAGCACTGGGACAACTGTCTGCCGTATCTGTCGCTGGGACTCTTCCGACAGTCCATTTGATTTCAATGCGTGTCCTAAGGTTAGAACACGCAATAAGCAGATAAAGGCCACGAAACACAGGGAGTCAAGGTCAAAGGTCATCTGCCCATCAACCAGGCTGAAGACGGATCGAACTCCCAACCAATAGAATTGCTCGCCTCCACGGGCAACCACGGCGGTATAGAAACGCACGCACACCACGCTCAGCCCACTCTCCCTGAGGCTCCTCTACGCTATTCTACACTACTGCACGCCACTCAACTACCCACTGATGATGTCACCTCGATTGGTGACGAAACATTTGCAACCGAATTGCCAAGCTCAGCGAACAGTTCAACTACCATCTGGACAACCTGAGCTACCAGTCTTTAATTATATATGGAAAATTCGTATTTTTCCTTGAAAATTTGCAGTTTGTGTATCGAATTGCCCGCTTTTTGTTTCGTGTTGTTGCGCGAACCCAAGCTGGGACATCCTGGTCACTGGAACTATATTTGGTCTTCGATTGCTCCAAGCGACAACTTAACGGACTGTGTGATGGGATCTTAGGTAGCGGCAACGCTGGGTAGACTTCAGGGACAACATATATGCTATAGATAACCCTTTAGGGTCGTTGCTAACGTCCCTTTGCTTTGCTGTCAGGTTTCTGAGCCAACAGCTTTGCTTTCAGTCCCTAATCTTTCTCATTTCGTTGAGATGTGCTCTTTGGCATCAATGTGGTACGTCATGACCACCACAACAGTGTTTCGCTCCATTTCACATTGGCTATTGCCTTAGCACTTATTTCCTTTAGGTCTGATAAGTGAAAACACTGCCGCTGATGCCTGTCCAAAAATCGATCCTTCTGCGACAAGTGATGTATTAAACAAACGCAAACCAGCAGAAAGGGCAACACATTTAACCATCAAAAGCACTGTGTTTGCTCATGCCGACAGGAGCCTTGCGTATGTTTCCCATTATGGTGCCAACGACGAGGCAGTGCATGTCCCATTGTTTAAATAACTTTACCTGTAGTTGTGAAGACAGCTATGTTGGGCGCACCGACGGAACTTTTGGCGTCAGAATCGGTGAGCACATTCCAAAGTAGTTACGCAGCCAGTTGAAATCTATGCCAAAGGAATTGGATGAATCGAAGATTTGCGCTGTCTCGGCATTCACAAGGTATTCGCTGAGCGCCGGTCACCAGGTCAACCCCGATACACACTCAGAAGCCCCGTGCCATCAGGCTACTGGAATATATTGTTATTGGTCGAGGACAGCCGCGGATGTGCGTGCAGATACAGCTGACTGTGTCTCTGAGTCTACCATGGTAGCGAGAAACGTTCTAATCGACTCCCTCTTTCTTTCTTTCCGTACATTTTCTATCCATACTTTATCATTAGCTGCATGTATGTTAATAATAACCATGCACATAGAGACCGAGTCATCACACAACCTGCGTCATCTGATCTTCTTATATGGATTTGAGTATTCCCTTACCCTTCCACTTATTACTAATCGATCATTCATTATATTCATGACACCGGGCTACGTGCTTAAGGCCGATCCCTACATTAGTCTATCTTCTTACTGGGGAGTATCGTTATTCATTCCTATTCCAGCCCGTCGTTTAATGATAGGGTGTATAACACTGCGATGTGACCTTCGCTTGTGTATGGATCGGACAACGGGGTAGTTCGCGCCGAACACACTAACCGATTGGCCGTCTTGGATCCACGGTACTTACGGACTTTTGCTCACATCCGGTGTGAACATAGAGTAAGCAGTGTTGACGTCCATCAGTTGGTGTTTGGCAAGAAACCTTTTGGTTCTTCACTGGAATAGTTGGTGAAGCTTTGCCGTTTACACTGATTAGGTCACATCCTCTGTATGCGCCTTGATAGCCTTCTTCGACATACATTATATGCTGTAACTACACTTGCCTAGACGAAACCGTAAGACGAAAAAGAATGGCATCAGCAGTATGCCAGTAAGCAGTACCGACGCTTCGTTGCCGCGCAACCACTAGCGGCAGTCACACGTGGGTTGAAGATGCTGCGATGGTCGCCCGGTCCCTACACAGGCTCGGACCCGCGCCGTCTGATTACAACTCAGGTTTGTAATCTTTACAGCTACACCGGGCCGCCAACTGCGAGATGACTAGTCGTTGACGTGACACAAAACCATAGAGTGATTAACCGAAACATTTAATCAGGCTGTTGCATGATGCCTTCTTGGCTACTTTCCTCGAGATGGTGTATACCAGTGGTTGGCAGCCCTATCGGATATGGCGCAGCCGCGAAGTCAATGGCTCCCCTACCTTCGCTATCTTACATCTGTTTGCATTCCATACTAAGTTGTTTTACTTCTTCTTACCTATTTCTCTGTACTGCGTTTTCCTTCTCGTTTTCTCACCGTTGCCGGCTCATAACCTTAAGGAACGCAAACCTGCCTTGTAATCTGAAGGCGCAGGTTTGAGCCTGTTTAGGCGCCGGACAACCCTGGCAGTATCCTTAGCGCACGCGCGACTGGTGATGATTGCGTGGCAGCGAAGCCTCGGTACTGCCTATCGGCGTACCGCTAGCATTTTTTTTACCCAGATCATAATTTAACTGAATCAAAACGAACTGTGCATTCCCAATTTTGGATGAGGGAGGACCAGTTAATTTTTTGACTGTATCCAAGCCTCATTTCCATCTTACTACAGGTGTTGAAGCAATGTTTTAGTTATCACTGATAAATCATATCTGTTCCCATCAGTTTCGAGCTCCCATCTCAATCAGTTATTTGCTTCGCTTTTTTCATATC